TTTCGTCACCCAATGCGGAATCAAAACCAGCAGAAACAAGAACCAGGTCTGGGCAAAACTAGACAAAAAAATAAAAAAAAAAGAATAGTAATAATATTTAAATTTACCTCTGGACAACCCAGAGCCGCATCGTAACCTGCTGATACTATTATCAAATCCGGTTGAAACTACAATGTTAATACTTTCATTAAAAGATTAATTTTAAAAAATTAAATCATTTTATATTATATACTAATAAATAAAGGTTACATGTCACGTACTTCGTAAGCCATTGGCAATAAAACTTGCTGGAAGATCGCGATGTAATCAGCATTAGTCATGCCGGTTTTATTTAAAGGTACATTGAAGTTGTAACCCTCTCCGAGCTCGTCTCCAATATAATGAAAATCAGATTCCCTTAAGTTGGGCCAGAATTCGCCATGTTCATAACGATGTATCGAAAAGTAAACTACGCTGTAAAAACATTTTAAAATAGTTTAATTAATTCTGAACCTTAATAGAAACAAATAAATAAAGTAATGTTTTAAAAAATAATACAAATTTTAAACAATTTTTTAAAAAAGAAATGTACCGTGGATCATTGTAAAACATTTGTTGCGTTGCTTGTCCATGATGAACGTCCCAATCCACAATTAAAATCCTGTTTGCCAAATCAGAACTCAGAGCTTTCTCTACTGCCAGAGCTACATTATTGAAAAAGCAATAACCGCAGTATTCCGATTTCATTGCATGATGACCAGGTGGTCTGAAAAAATATTATTTATTAATTAATCACTAAATATTATATATTAGGGGGGAAAAAGTTCGTAGCATTTTTTCCATTAGATGGCATTAAAAAAACGCCACGAACTTTTTCTCACACCTAATAATTATATTAACATAAGTTAAATTTTTAACTAATTCGAATACATTTTTTAATTAAAGAAAAATAAACTACTAAAGATAAAATTAATCAAATTAAATATCAATATATATTTATATTTTATGAAGATCATCTATATATATTAGGACTTACCTGATAATAGCCATGCCATTTTGTATCTCACTTTTGCAGACACTTTCTACTAAATTGATTGTTGAGCCCACAGCTAATAAAGATAATCTATATGTAGACTGAAAAAATATATATAACCAAATGTTAATAATTATTTAAATATACTTAAAAAATAGTATTCAACAAATAAGCTTGAATATTATTTTTATCATTACTTTCCCTTAAAAAAATCGTGAAATTATTTTACACATACCGGATGGATATAGACACAATCGTACTTGGATGACAACAACTCCAAATTCTCAGAATCCATAGAGTCGTCTGTTGTTGTCTTCAAAATATCAATCTGTTTTTGACTGTGCTTACTCAAAAGCTCGTTCTCTGTGGCACATCTCGGTTCAATGAGTTTACATCTCTGCATCAGGCCCAATTCCTCGCATCTTTGCAAAACTCGTGTAAATCTAGCTGGACACTCGGGATAATTTGGATCCCAGATGCACTCGTGCTCAGCCATGCTTTGATCGAATACAAGACCAGTCTCCTTGCGTGTCATTTTGTATGCATCGATTGCTTTCTGATATATGTCTGGTACAAAATTATTGTTGGATTTCTTGTCTGACAGCAGCTGTCGTTTTGCTGCCTCTTGCTTGGCAGCCAATAGTGCAGCTGATGGACGTGCCTGTCATCAGAATGATCATCAGAATATGTATTACATGGATTTTAAGATATATTGAAAATGCTTGTGAAAAAAAACATTGTCTCACTGATTATTATTACAATGTATCATATATTCAAACATTTAAAGTATTTTTAATACTTTTACAAGTTTAACAAATAATATTTACATTTTTCGATTTCCCAAGTTTCTTTGTTTTCTTTACATTTGAAAGCATATTTGTTGCAGTTCTTTGGCACTTGGTGGAATTCTCAATCACTTTTATCAGTTCAATCTCACTGTCTGCTAGTTGTTTAGCAGCAGTAAACAGATCCAGGTTCACCGTGGACTCAGTCTGTAAAATTATTTTGTTTAATATTTAATAATAAATGTAATATAACAACTGCATTCAACAGAAAAAGCAGCTTTACAGCTGTTATAAGATTCTTTAATATGATTCATTTAGATTCAAATGAGGAACTAAGGCCAAGATCAATTTAATTTTAATCTTGCTTTAACTAATCCATGTATCTTTTTCTAAAATTAGAAAAAATTAGAAAAAATGAAGAATAAGTTAAAACAATATTAAAGTTAATGTATATTAGTAAAAACAATTTAAACAATTTAAACTGTGCAATACTATTATTGTAATTATATTGACTGTATTTGATAGAACATTTATTTTACAACTGTTGATGTCATAAAAGTTTTAAGATAAAGTCAAATTATATGGAAAAAAATAAATTGTTTCAAGATCATAGTTTTTGTCTAAAAATTTCTAAGATCTCTATCGTGCAACAATCAAATGATTGGAGCCAATTGGAGCTTCTAGCTAGTGCAAGTTAACAAAAAAGTAAATTCTAACAAGAATAACAGAACCAGTGCAAGTTAACAAAAAGTAAATAGCAGAACCCTACAATAGACCTGTTGTATTGTAACTGTTGTGAATAAAACTGGATTTTCTTCAGAATCGTTCTTTTCGCATACAATATTAAGATCTATGACAATAAATGCGAGACTTGTTACAAAAAAAGTTATTGATCGAGGTTACAGACGGTGAACGGACAATCTGTCCTTCTATGGATATACAATGTGATATATATATATATATATA